TGGAGGAAGTGGGCATCTTTGACGGACACCACTTTGTGTGCGGAAGCTCCTGGAGAGCTCACCGTATACTCTCACAGATCCCGATGTCTAAGAGTACAAAAAGCTTATTATGTTGACGAACTTCCGGGGCATTCGTGGAAAAACGTGTCGGGAAGACAAGACTGGTCAACCGAATCAAATGCGCCTTGGAAATCCAGGAATACTGGAACGTACGGCGTTGTTCTAGCATCTGACGAAGTGTGAATATTTGGTCAACGCAACCCATATCAGGCCAGAATCCCGCTTGCTGCTCTCGAGTCAGTGTCTCACGAGCTACCGTGAGTCAACGAAGCACAATTGACGTCAACAGTCTCATTAGAACCGCCCTCTGTGGTTGCCAAGCTCATGAGACCCTTTCTTGTGAATGGGCACTATCACCAGTTGTCTCAAACAGACTCCTTTTCCCGAATACCAGCAAACAGGTCCCAAAAGCGCTGACTGAGGACTTCATCTTCATCTTCGAAAAATGCTTGTGGGAGATCGTCCGGGCCAGAGGCTCGGTGGCGCTTGAAAGAACATATGCAATCATGAACTTCCGAGGCCATAAGCGGTTCCACATTCAAAGTCTAGGGTTCCATGTCACCTGATTTGTGCCAGCTGGTAGCAATGACGATTGTTGTTCGAGGTATTTGGTCCACCGGTCGATGCATTCCTCCTTACTCAAGATGGTTACTCCTTTCCGATCCTTGACGGTTTCACTCAGAGGTGGTTTACGATGACCTGTCGTATGACCATTCCAACACAGGACCAACTTAAACCCATTGGGATAGGGTTGTTCATCCTTCCCGCTTTGCAGCTACACCGATTAAGGTTCATGTGGCCTGCGTTCAAATATTAGTTGCACGGATTTGAATACGCAGATATGAAACTCACCGATTCACGTTCATCATCAACTTGTGAATACAGTGGGTAAACCGGTACGCGATGAATCATTCACTCACCTTCTAAACTGATTCAGTTGTGGAAGGTTCGCATATATGTAAAATATGTAGTAAGCGTAGTCCGGGTTTTCGGAGTGAGAGTAGTTTTCCGGTGTTGGGGTCGAACGATTAAAACCGACCTTGTCAGATTTTGACTCGTCATCAACCGAGTCCAGACCTGTCACAAATTGTAGAAATGCGTGCAGCTCCGGATGCGATTTGGGGTTCGCAGTCACTTCGAATAAGGGTAGGAACACGTTTGTGAGAATATCCTGTGAATGCAACAAGGCACATGAAAAACGATGTTCAGGCGGACATCTAGAACCAAGCATAGCTGATTAATTTGGTTGAAGTATAATCGAGGATCGATTTTTGGAAAACGAACTCAGGGGCCCCAAGGCGGGACAAAGCCATCCGAAGGGTAGTACTGCGTGACTGCGTGGACCTAATGTCTGTTAACTCAACTTATGTACGCAATCCAAATGCAGAGAAAACACCGCTCGCAACTTATCTCAAGCAAGGATTGCGTGAAGAGGGAACGACTGGAACTATTTAATGGAATATGAGCATAGTTCGAAACCAGTGAATAGATAAATCCGGTTATGAAAACCACTGAAATCTATCATCCGGGGTGCGAGCATCTTAGGTGGACTCTTTGCAGTCAAATTAGCATGGAACAGCCCTGGAAAATGCACACTGGGGTACTCCAGGGCGTGGGAAACTCCCCCACCCGAACAAACCTAATGGCAAAATTATTAAGGTAAGAAAGTAAGGCCTAGAATTTAGGTTTTCAGCGTATTTGAATGGAGCAAGTAACCAGCCTAGTCCCGCAAGATACGTAGGGTGGTTTGAAAGAGGTTTTAATAATACTGCCCCTGACTTGGACCATGGTCCCTGCACTCTCATGCGGCAGGCGAGATTCCCTTGTCAAATTTTTCGCCAGACAGGATTAGTTTGCCCGACAAAATACTACGTACAAGATTGTTGCAACCTCTCTAAAAGCCCTTCTTAGTCGCTTATCATGTAGGCATAGTCCCTGAATTTCCATAGTCCCTATTTCCTAAAGGAATACTAAACTGTATGCTCATTTTTCGAATAACTTGCTGCTAACTGAAGACAACAAAGTGTCAGGCGATTTTCTGGTTTATGGTGACCTTCATCCGAATGTGCTGCATCAAGACCACCTCGTGTTTCAGTTTACATACGATCAATAAGTTGAGGTATTTTTGTTGACCAAACACTGGTCTGTAATGTGTTGGAATATTGGCAGCTCGGGTGTATTAGTTGGCAGTTGATCAGGTGGCTGTTGATCTGTTCGCCGAGCTTGATAATTGATTTGCAAACGTTTGGTCACCATTCGAGGAGACCTCTTCAATGAGCTCAGCTTTCAGCATTCTGTGCTCCAACAGTGTCTCCTCGAATAGTGACGAAACGTTTGCAAATCAATTGCCAAGCTCGGCGAACAGATCAACAGCCATCTGATCAACTGCCAAACACTGGTCTCCCACTTCAGAAGAAGTCTACTTCAAACAGCGGTTGCAAACTCAGCTTTCGTACACTTTGGTGTCAAATTTCCAAACTTGAGGGCTTCAGATAACCGACGAACCCGAGAAAGCGGATAGAATTCAGCAACATTTTAGGCAGAGTTTGTTCAAGAATTATGCTTCTACGGCTTAAGCGTCGTTCTCCCTGAAACACATGAAGATATTTGTGCAGTACATTTGTACAAGATCGAGTTTATACATGTCTTCAAAGAGGATAACTCTCTAAGTGACCCTTCTGTGTAAGGATCACTGTAAATCAGCCCATATTGAAGCATAATCATCCTATAATGTTTTATCATGTCGAAAAGTCTCTCAACTTTACCTGAAAATATTTCATTGATCCTTTTGCATGATACACATCAAAGAGGCGGGGTATTTGAATCAACCAACGAACGTTTTCTGAGTAAACTTCGCAGGTTATGGCCCATTTGGCCAGGTTATCCCATTCGTCAATGGACCGTCCGTAGATTGAGAGTCTCGGCTCGATGTTTTGGTATTTAGACTCGGCCAAGTCTGAAAACACTTCCTGAAAAACGAAACGAAAGAGGTGGACATATCTCACGTCAGACGGTTGGAGGTAAATTAAGAAGAAACAACTTTCCCACCATTCGTCTAGTAACAATGATCATGAAGAGTTCAACCTTATGTGTCTAGATCGGGTCAACACGACGAAGTCTCAGTCAACTTGGTTCCTCTGAGTTACGCGACAGGTGAAAGGAAGGAGGATTTCGCTGCGGAGTTATTTATTAGGAAACACCAAGTGACCGGTTACGGGCCATTGAACAGGTAAGCAAAACTCCAATTTGCATCTTATTTACAAAAAACTGGACACCCATCTTCTCCCGAACGTGTCTTCTTGAACTTTCTTGGAGATTCACTGACTCCAATGGTTCCTCGCTCAAATCCAGGCAAATTTTGCAGTGACTCCACGAATTCCACAACAGACCTCCCCTTTTCAAAAGACGCAAAGCAAAATTACACGAACAACATACTACTCGCGTGCCTCCCCATCAGTAGTGTCACCGTTACACGGGAAGGTTGTAAGAGTTCGTGGAAGTCGGTTGCTTATGAGCAACCAATGAAAATAACCGAACTGTCAGTTCCTCGGCTTATTTCGTTTGCAAAGTGTCTCTTCAGTTGACCTTGATCCGGTCACCGGGACACTAACATTCCTATTGGAAACAATGCATTCGAAATGACCGTATCATACGATCAAACTGGACTCTACTGCTGGAAAACGAAGCAACCTATAAACAATAACTTCTGAAGTGTCGAGGTCACCAAAATGAAAAAAACAAACAAACAGAACTGAACGGTAGTTCTTCCACCGGCACATCACGTATGTATCCGCGGATGTCGAGCGAACAACGTACGATATGTTACGCTTACACACATATGCAGTTTAACATGTTTGGATCCCAGGAATCGATGGGATCAATCACGTCTAAAATACGCTGACTTTCTTCTTTGCAGTGCAATCCGAACAGGCCGTCTGGGGATACCACCTGTAAGATCCGGGCAGTTAAGGATCTCACAGGACGATTTCATCTATCAGACTATACGCAGTTCATATTCAGTGGGCAGCAGGAACAGATGGATGAGGGCAGTAGACGATGTATCGAGAACTGTCAAGCACTGGTTCTTTGGACGAACGGTCGATAAATATCGTGGATTTAGCAAAACAAACAATCAATGGCAGCACAATCCGTAGGGTCAGAAAAACGGTCAGTGAGGCAGCAGGGCTTTCTGGAAGCAACAGCAAGCAAGTACCAAACGATCTACAAACGTACAGATACGGGAGAGTCAGCCAGTGTAAATTGGCCGTATACGGAAATAATGGCGTGGAGAACAATCAGGACGTTCGGAAACTGTCTTTGGCTGATGGCGTGATGCAACAGCCCGTGTCATGTGCCGAATCGGATTGCGCGATTAAAACAAATCTCAACATAGGCTATCTGGCAGAGGCGGTATAAAGGTGATAAAAAATATGGTATGTTGATGCGTCGTGTTGGTGGAGTGGATGGCACGCTCACCTTTCATTCAAGGAGCTCTGGGTTCGATCCCCGGCTAAGATCGTACCAACTTGCAAACAAAGACGGACAGGCAACATATCTTGGCGTCAGTTACTACAGCACAAACAGACCTTAAGCAAGAGCGAAAGCCTGAGAAACCACCAGCAAGGAGACGAAACGGCATCATATTAAACGGGGCGTAAATCATGCTACTCATGAGTAGTCAGAACAGAACAGAAAATAACCACTGATCGCCTACAACACTACCCTATATGATGCCGTGAGATATGGCTCAAAACCTGCAACTCTAAAAGCACCCACGGAATCCGCGACAAAAAGTCAAGACTGCTCCTCAGACACAAGTCCGACCGGTCACCCGACGACAAGCAGAATAAAGCTAGTCAGGTGGACAGCCTTGATAACTAACCTTCAATATCTGGGCAAAGAGTGTCCCTTTCATATAATTGTCCGTTTTGAGGAAGACTTCCCGAAGTTGACTTTGTCCGATTGGATTGTACTTTGCATTAAATTTGTCGAATCGATGGAAGATGTTTCGATCCTTAGCGAGACAAAAAAGAAATAGATTAGGCAAGACAGATCACAGTCAAATGTTTCATCTTATCGGTAAGAAACATCGTTCATTGTTGGAGTAATATAGGCACTCAACAACAAAAGTAAAGCTGAGAGGTAACCACCACTTAGTGGAGTTGTGCGCATTCCAAGGTTCCCCACCGAAGAACTTTCAATTAGAGCTTATATTATTTGATACCCCGGTGGAAACTCCCGTTAGCATCCTGTATAGGAACCTCTTCTGAACGAGTCCTCAGGGGTCTGTTTCTGCTACCAGAAAATTATTGTATACTCTACAAAAGAGTGACCATTCTTCAAATCAGCCTCCTTTCTGATTCTGATTCTCCTTTCGGATTTTTCTGCGAAAACGCGTGACTTGTCTGCCGCACTACACACCAATTGGTTGCTGCATCAAAGCAAGAAAAAATTTCCACAACACAAGTAGTCAAGTTTACCCATTTTCATCGAGGTAGCAGGGTTTGAAACAAACCGATTCGGGTAATTCTGAGAATTTGTGAAGAGTTTCCATTTTTGCCGGAAATGACTCCCTCTATTCAGTCGTATGCATTTAGCAAGCGGATTGGTCAGTGTTCTTATCAAAGGACCAAACAACCCAGGTCCAGTAACGTTTCATAGTCATCAGAAACCCATCAGGGTAATCCTGCTTTGAGAATCCAGGTGTTCACAACCTGACAAGACCAGTATGGGACGAGAGTCCAGGGTGTATCAGTTATCTCGGCGAGGATAACTGACCAATCCAGCACTTACATACAGCTATTTTGTTGCATAATACACGATATGGTGAAAGCAACCTAATCCAGGAACAAGAATTTTCAGCAACCTCGTGAGTAGTATGTCCCACCAAGAAAAAGGTGTACCAACAATTCAGGAATAATGTTCTAATGAAAACTCACAGCATGGACATCCAAGTTGTCTATGGTCATATCATGAGCCGAGATGCCAACTTGGTCTATGAGCTTGAAAGTAAATAGGAAATATGGCTCATCAAATTATTGTACAAAGTCATCCCTACGGAAACTGCGACCGGCTGTTGTACAGTGTTACCGGCCTGAATGCATTCATTAGAATAGTGATTTATTTACACTGCCAAATGAAGCAACAAGGCCTTACATGGCTGTCACCAGTGGCGTCACAGATTAACTTGCTCACCAGGGTTTAGAGAAAAATGACTAGGATGCCTAAATCGATGGTTTGTGTTCCTCCTGGATTCAGTACCATTCCACTAATGTCGCGAAGTGCTTTCTCCCACGAATAGTGCAAGTTCAACCCGTACTTATCGATTTTTCGTTTTGAAATCGGAGTGATGGACCCCTCGGTTTTTCTGCCAACACTATATATTATCTTTTGTGAGTACTACTCAATATACTGCTGAAAGCTGCTTCAAAATACACAGCTGCAGAATTTAGGCAAAAATCCATGTCAGCTGAGAAGCGAACAACAGAGCTACTCAAATCAAATCATTTCGAGTATGTCATGGCTTGTCGGAATCATAAAACGGCGTTTTAAATCTAAAAGTCAACTAAATTTCTTCGCTTCAAGAATAGCTCAGGTACTGAAGATACTTTCGAAGAAATTTTGGAAATTCACTACAGATTTTATAATATTCACAGACCCTTTATCTAGCCATTGCATGATCTGGGCATCTTGGGATGACATCTGTAGAATGACCCGATAAGTAATCAAGCTCAGCTTCAACTGATGCGAGCCTCTGATATGTACTCCTAAACTATCTACTGTTGGTTTTTGGAGTGTGTGTATCCTACAGATTAAACTAGAACGCCGCTTATTAGAGGCGAGGGACTCTGTTGATCTCAACCTGGAACTCCAGTCAACATCAAGATAAGTTGCGAACTTCGATTATGTTCGCTCAGGTTTACGAGAATGACTGAATTTCGGAAACTAAGTCTATTTATTCAAAATCAAGAAGCTCAAAGACAGTAGTCTTTTGCTTAGTAATATTTCTTGAAATCATTGGATACAGTAGGTCTGATCACGCAGAGGTGGCGTGTTTATGTCTGCACGGGTTCCCGATGTCAAGGTCGTCAGTACGTCTACAGTGAGAGAGAATATTGGCTAAAGACCTGGAAATGACACAGGGGTTAAGAACTTGCTAGCTGACCGGAAGGCTCGTGATTCGAAACAGACCAGTGCATCTCGAATGTCTCTGTCTAGGCTTGGGCAATCTGGCAGTATCTCGACGCTTGTGCTTCTTTCCGGTGGCATGGCGGCTGGGTATCGAAAGGGTGCTACACAACTGAGATGAGGAGATACTGTGTGATCCCTACCAAATAGTCACTTGACATGGTGCTATTCCAAGGGGTGAAATTGCTCTTTGTGGATTTTCGAGTTAGATAATTCACCTTCGCCAAGCACACCAGAACACCGCTTTCACCTGAACCTCTAGGCAGGCCAAGTGGTAAGCTGTTACCACTGCACATGTGGATGGCTATGAGGCGTCTGACGAGCCAATCTCATCGCTCAAGAGTGAACGCGTTTGCCCGCTTAGACTTGGTGATGCAACGTGCGCTGGTGGCGTAGAGATAACAGGTCCTTCTTGCATGTCACACTACTGATGGGCTCTTATGATAGGGAAACTCAAGTCCAGTGGTTTGATAAGAGCGGGACTCAAGAAGGGTCTTCGTCACTTTGATTCTGACACGCCAGAATAGTTACTTCAGGATAGTTGAACAAGAGGATTGTTCAAATGACGGCTATGTGAATTCGCTATTAATTTGTGTCCCGGATCTAGTTATGGGATGAAGCTATGGCTACCAGTGACAAGTTTGCTACTACATTAGGACATCACTGGCGATTTAGTGGTGGTGTCATTGTCTGCTCTCAGGTTAAGTGAAAAAATGCGAATAGACAAATAATAAAGAAATGGGAATCGTGTGTCTTTGTTCGCCTTAAGTTTCGGGCAAAAAACTGCAGCTGCGTTACTGCGTAAGATAACCAGATTTCAGTGTGATTCCCTGGGATCGTCAGAGCAGAAGTGCTCAATCAGTCTCCGGGGGAACTATCAAGAAAATTTACCATATGTCCAGGATGAAACATCAAGGAAGCTCATGAAGACCACTCTTCCCCCAGAGTGACTCATTTAGCGTGATCAGTTTAGACGAGGCACCAAGTTTCCTATGTTTCAAAAACTTCGCTGCCTGGAATGGTTGATCCCGAGAATTTTGTAACGCAGAGATTTTCCGTGAACTAAGTTGTTTACGTTGGAAGAATTTTGGTTCTCTTATCAAGGGGAAAGGATAAAAATCACTGCTGAATCAACCTGTCTAGCTGCTACCCCCCATTAAAATGCGAGCTTCTCTGTCGATCACAACGGGCGGGAAGATAGCTGGCACTTTAGAGAAATGATCTCTGAAGACAGGCTCTGCTTGAGTTCGGCATTTCACCAAGTTCTAGCTCCACTTAAAAACTTCCTATCCTATATGTGGAAATCAACTTCAGTTTTTCAACCGCTAGCGGGCCAACCGTCAGTGTCAGATGGAGTCGTATTATCTGAGGAGAACCACAGATTAGGAAGGAGTGTTGTAATCATCTTCGACGAGGGTTTTTAAATGAACATTCGTCACGAGGAAGAAGTACTCTCTCACTTCTGCAAAAGGCAAATACGAACGATTTTACTAATCAAGCAAAGCAACTTGAAATTTCACCGTTAAAAGGCACACGGACTTTAGCAGATTGACCTTTGACAGGACAAAACGTACTTGATCGTGCCTTAAGTTACCGAGGACCAGGTTTATCTCTCTATTTTTGTTACAACATACGTTGAAAATCTACAATACAGCTGCTATGCACGCTCGAGAAGGTCAGTCCAAACATAATATCATGAAAAGTTCGACTGATTACTAGGAAAGTCAATAAACAAACCTGTTTCAACGTTATCAGTTTACCGGATTTTTCGTCTTCACAAACCAACACGTCCCCCTTGGTGTGAATGGTCTTTTTGATGAACCGTAAAAGATGCTTCTGGGTCATACACGATGCTGCGTGAATATGCGTGTCGACCTACATCGGGAAAACAGATAAAGAGGTGTTTTGGTTACAATCAAAGTACGGACAGATATATTGCTCTCCTGTCACATTTGGGACCACTGTGGGATGAACCCATAGGAGTCTACCCCGTCAGTTGGCTTGAGTTTCACAAACTGAACACATACGCGTTAAATAATGTGTCACCTATCGACACGGTTCTTTTAAGACTGCGCCGCACGCTTATGAGAAAAAAAAACTGTGAAATCGTGAAAGGCCAACAGAGTTCACCGTCAGATTAACAAATTCAGGTTCAACTCCAGTTAGTTTAAAAGACGATTACGGTTATTAATGTGTCTCGTTGGGAAATGTTACAATGTCATGCTGTGTGACGCATTCTTTGTTCGAAGAAAAACAAACTTTTATGCTAGAAATCGGAGTCATTAGAAAAACGAATTTGGTGAACAACGAGGGGAAAAAAGAAAGAAGAGGGGTGGGAAGGGTGGTCCACAGGTCAATGGGTCCCGGAGTCACTTGCGTTACGTCACTGTCAGAAGAGATTGTGGAGGCATATTTATCACAGGCTGGCTCAAGTTCGAAGGTATCATAAATCTACTGATGTAACAGACTACTAATAAGGTTGCTGAAGACTGCTCCACAGCTAACGACCGGTTTTGCCTTTCCTGAGAATCATTAGATAGGCGACTTTCTGAACAAACATTCCTAAATCAGTCGAGTACGGAGTATATATGGAGTAAGGTCTGCTTGTGAACGCACGATGCACTTACATAAACTCAATTGGTTTTGCATCAGCAATCAGTTAAAACTAATCTGTGGCTACACCGACAACAGTCTCCCACATCGACCGATTGTCTTGAACTTTCAGCTAACTGATACACACTGCCAGCACGCAGCAGTGAATTACCCAAGGTCAAGTCACATTGTGTAGCACATAGCATAGTCAAATGATTAAAAAAGTAATCGACAAATTTCATTGACTAGTTGAATCAAAAATTCGATTAATTCCTTTAATGGGGCCAAGACGATTTTCGCATTCGATTAAATGTGAAGATTGTGTGTGCTAGTTGTTTCCGTCGGGAGAAGTTGGTTGATCACGCTGGAATTCCACCTTGACCGTCCGAAACCGTGCGCTATTGGACTGACTGGGATGAGGTAACATTTTTCTCAGAGAGCGCAGTCCGAAAAGTGAATAATAGACGCGATTTTCTGCTCAAATATTACCTATCTCTCAAAGTTTCACTTGGCTAATCCCGATACACCAATCTAAAGAGGCTGTGTGAGGATGAAACGTGTCTCTGCTGCATCGTTTTGAGGGTGATCAATAGGCGGTAGGACATATTGGGTCAAAATCGTTAGCTGTAGAGACAACCAGTGGGTAGAGAAGCGAAAACTTGGGAATGGGGTAAAACTGAGGGTTATTCACGGGGCCTCAAGTGATGACGTACTTTTCGTACGTTGTAAAAGTCACGTTTGGACACTGGCTTCTGTTCCATCGATTCCTTGGAGCTGTTTAACAAAGAGTGCAAACCAAACTTTGAACTGAGATAGGTTAGACGACCAAAGCAGAAGGATTTTAGCGGCCCGTTAGCAACAAATGTACGTATTGTATCAAAGTCATCGAGGTAGGCTTCAACGCTAGGCACCACGAATTTCCAGTCGTTTCCGATAGATTTGCCTGTTGGGGTGATGACTTGCATGATGCCCTTCTGAAATTTGAGCTTGACGTCAAGTGGTTCAGGCCAGTAACGGACCTCGAAAGGATTGGCGCTTTCCTTCGGCGAATTGTGCGGGTAATCTTGAAATGAAAGATATCAGGAGACAGACACTCAGATACAGCGCTGATAGTAAGAAAACGCCTAACGTCAGGAAACGGAAGTATTTTAAAGCAAACTATTCACAAATCGTTTGCAGATCTCAACTCACGGAATCGTGTGTCCGACGAAGGTAACTGTGCAGACTTTAGCGTATACGAAAAATATTAGCCCAAAGCTTGTGTTGGTGCTACCTTAAGGAATCAAGGTTTACAGCAACTCGCTGTTTTTACAAACACAAGATTTGAAATTAGATTGGAGGGGATAAAACTGCAGGGTAAGGTGAAGACCCAGTTTTTATGGCGTAATACACTATTTATAAGTTTGGTGAAAACTCCTCGACAGCCCCCGATCGGTTTCACCCCACTTGGGGCTCATCATTTAGATACAGCCCCTAAGTTTATACCAACATTATGTTCTACTTGAACCAAACTGCACGAAATAAGCGAACTACGCTCATTTGCATACCATCTTGGTTTTGACGGAAATTCGTCTGGAACCCTGGGGAATTCTCGCTCCCAAGTTTTTTTATCTTTCAAAAGTTTTCCAGGGCCTAAAAAATTTAAAACTACGTGGCCTAACTTTCAACCTCACACTGACAGCAGAGGAATCAAGAACTTCGGTTTATGTAGGAGGAATGTGATAGAAGAAACAGGAGTTATATAT